TATGCCAAATGAATACTTTTTAGTTTGTGACATTTTAACTATTTATTCACATCCTACCTTCCTCTTGTTACTTGGCAGTTCCCTTCTAAATTTGCTTGTAGAGCCCTTCATTGTAATACACTTTCTAAACTAACAAAGCAATTTTAACATTCCACATATACGTTCATTTAACTTAGTCCATACGCTCAGCCAATAAGAGCTTGGCCTGGTCAAAAGCTTACCTTACATTCTTTCCTTCTTTGTTTTGTTTTAGGAGAATATCATTAACGCCCCTCGATCTTAAGGGATTGCAATAAAGCATCAAAATGTTTTGAAATTACTCAATAGGATCAAAAAATCAAATTAAAAATAAGTTTAGGTACAAAATAATAAAAGTATACCTTACTTTTTTTAGAAAAACAAAATTCACCTATCACCAACAACCACCACCAATCACTAGCGATAATGCTAGAGATCAAATGGTGGTCCAATCATTAAAGTCACATCACTGAGGTCACTAGTTGTCATCAGAGCCAAAGCAAAGGATTGTGATTTACTTCTTCCATTTGGTCTTATTTATAAATTATTTTTAACATTTTTACTTAAATTAAGAAAATATTATATCTCATTAATTCTATCTAAAATTCAATAAGTTTCCACTATTAAATATATAGTTTTAAAATAAAATGATAAAAATAAACATAATAATAATTGAGATGCCTATTAATAGGACCAGAACAAATAGTGTCTCTATGTCCTCTAAATAGAATTAAAAATCAAAACATTGAAAATCATAGCCATTGAAAATAAAAATAGGAGCTTTTAATTCATTAATCATCTTAACATGATTTTTTTGGGTTTCAAGTGCAAAATTATCATAAACTTTTTTTTCAAAAGCTTTTAATATCATTAAATTAACGAACATCCCAATTCATTAAAATAGGCCAAATGCTAATGTTGACCTGTTAATTTTCAAAAATAGAATATAATTCATTAGAAAATGTTAACTTCTTTTATAATGTTAATGAGCGCTTATGTACTATCGTTGATTTAAAGATATAAAAAAAATCAAGTTAAGATTCAATTTTGTCCTTGTGTTTTAAGAGTGCTAGGCACTTTTTACTCTTAAGTTGGAAAATTTTATCCCTATGCTATTTTTTTTAGGAGCAAAAACCCCTTCTGTTAGCCAACTATTAATTTTTTTTATTTTTAGTTGATGTGGCATGTGCGTGGGGCCAACACATGGTGACATGTAAGACTTTGACCATATTACTTAGTACTAATTTCTCCTTAAACTCTTTTTCTAAGAGTGCTCAGTACCCTGAAGTCTTTTTCTATGAGCATTGGATACCCTGAAGTCTTATTAAAAAAAATTAACAAATACTGTTAAAATATTAAGTATTTTAATATTTAATAATTTAAATATCATTATTTAAAACATTACTCCACCCAATATAATATATTAATATTTTTAATATTTTTTAATTTTGTATTAAAAATGAAGGGAATGGACCTCCAAATTGATGAAGAAATTTTTCCCTTCTCATCTCTCCATTTTTCTCTTGTTTGATAACTTTTTCTGCAGCATATTATAATGTTTGCCTTGACATTATTAAGACAACACTCTAATATACCATTATGATAATTAGGATTAATTAAAATATCTAAAAAAAAAGTCATCACAATCCAAGGATTTAAAGATAAATAATTTAAAATACTGAGATTCCAAGAAAATCCTTTTTCAAAACTCATTTGAGCTCAAACCTTAGTTTAGAACAACTTAAACAAGGTAACAGAAGCATGGAAAAACATAACACTTAAAAGCACAATTAGAACAATCTAGAAAATTCCAAAATTTTGCCTGTCCATTGTGGCACAAGCCTTTTCTTGTTGCAGCAGGTGGCACAAAGAGCCACGCTCTCCCTAGCACATGTGCTATGGCATGTACCTACTATCATTACAACAACCCAGATCAACTTTCAAAGCATGTTATTTTGCTATCCGATGTCTGATTTGAGTGATTCAAGTGTCTACTCATAGCCTTTTGAGCCCTCTAGCTATTGGGATTGGTCTTACACCCAAATTCTTAAATATTAAAAAGTTAGATATTCTAACCCAAAATGGTCTATTTTCACCACATAACACACACAAGGATGTCCAAAACACATAACCTAGTGCTAAAAGCTCCGGAAACACTTGGACCAATTCAAATGGACAACACACAACTTGACAAGCCAATTATAACACATAAATAACAATCCATATACACAATGATTACCAAACCCTGAATTCACAATAATATAAAAGGGTGGATAACAATCATCATAAATGTCATTTTAACCATTACAACACAAAATTAACACAAGTATATCACTTGTACTAGTATCTTGGCCGTTCACAATCATTTAACCACAAGCACATCAATTAGGCCGTGATATGCACGCATTCCATGAATTTTTATGCAAGTGATTAAAAACATGCATGAAATCCTAAGTTAGCATAAATTTCACAACATATTCGTTACAAAACCAAAACATAAAAAGGAAGAGCTATACAAATGAAGCTCTTTACTCTTTGGTCATTCCTTCCTTCCCTTTGGCCCTACTAGGACCCTCACTTGTAAAATATAACTATAAGGTGAAATAAACATCTCAATAACAGAATAATTTACTACTATCAATTAACATGCACAATTAGAAGCGAGTAAAGCTTATATTCTTCAAAAATATACATTGAGCATATTTAAACATATCCTTTTTATAAACATAAGTCATTTCCCACTCTAGCATAATTATTCTACCGTCTGAGCCTCCATATCAACCCGATTGAAACCATAGGCTCTTGGACTAAGTGTACATTCATAATGGCCTAAACTCACCTTTAGTGATAGGATTACCAGGTCAAAGGTGTCCTATCCCACTCCCGACTATGATTACATAAATAGGGGTGTCGTTACTCTAACACTGCATCACTTATGCAAGGAGTGTCAATCTCTATCACCGTATCCCACTTAGATACTAAGGAGATAATCTCGAACACTATATCTTACTAGGTACTAAGGAGATGTATGCCATATGGTCTTCCACTACTTTTTTCTATGAGTAAACTCTCACCCCCTATCATGATCATGCTCATACATACCATACATACCACGTATTTATATCCAAACTATGTTTAACTTATATAAGGGGTTTTCACTATTTTCATTGTTTAAAAATCATTTCAAATGCATAAAAACAGTATTTTGCAATATGTAAGACTTTCAAAACACATGTAGACAATTTACATATCTACTCACAGACAATTAAGCACTTTAATCAAATAGTATAAATTATTACGTTGCCTCAAATCTTTTGTCACAAAAAGGGTTACTGTAGTCTAACATTCACTCCACACGTTCCACATGCACTATGACACATGAGAATTAAGTGATAATTATCAATTATCACTCTAATTAAAACCCAAAATCACTAGATTTCTAGTACTCATTACACCCATAATTCTTATTTAACAACATCAACCCTTCCAATGCACTCCAACAATCCTATTCAACATTCAAACACCCCAGTATCATCAACCATTTATCCACATTATTCCAAAACTTTCAAATTATACCTATGATTCATTCAAAACCTCAATAAAAAATTTCAAATCCATACAAAACCCATAAACCTAGGGTTAGAGGCTTAATTTAACTGCCCAAGACCTTAACTAAGTTAATCGGTTCAGTCTAAACCTAAGAAAATCGAAATCACAGCCCTTATTGCCTTGAAAAGTCAAAAATTTCACACAAAGGAGAAGAAAAGGGAATATGGAACTTACCCAAAGGTGAATCTTGTTCCCAATCCTTCCAAATTGATCGCAAGGTTGTGCCCTAGCAGCCATGATATATGTAGATTTTTGAACATACGCTATGGTGCATTGGTGCATCCACCGCGGTGTATGGCACATAGAGCCCCAGACACAAATGGAACCTCTCTCTATGCCATGGCCCGCTCGAACTTCGATCTAATTCTCTTCTAAGTCTGTCTAATGATCTATTAGCTACATTAATCTTCTAAAAGCATCATTAATCAAAAATCACTTACTTTTATCAATATAACCTTCTAAACACTTAAAATTCCCAGATTGAAAACTTAGAATGTTACACGTATTAATAGAATAAGCGATATCTTTCAAATAAATATTTTTGTTGGCACATTATTAATCCTAATTTGTCATGTTTCTAATTTTACTCCTAACATTACAACGTACAGAGAGTATTATATTTTGATAGTGCAATATTTTAAAGAAAAATTGTTAATTGACAAAAAAAATTACAGAAAATGACCTACAAATTTAAGAAACTTAACTAATATTAAAAATATCAATAAGTTTCAATAGCATAAAAGGCGAAACGATTTGGGCACTATCTCGAAAAGAATATTGAAGATTGATATATAAAAAATAAAAAGTTATTTCTAAATTTATGAAATTTTAGTTTCAGTTGTTAATATTTAAAAAGTAATTTATAAATTTTGAATGAATATTTAAATAATCTATAAATTATTAAATATTAAAATACTTAATATTTTAATAATATTTATTAAATTTTATTTTAACAAGAGGTGCCTAGTGTTTTTTTAAAAAAAAGAATTTAAAATTCTTAATACTGTGCTCCTAGAAAAAGAGTTCAAAGGAAATTAGCACTAAAGAACGTGATCAAAGTCTTATACATCACTGTGCATCAATCCTACACACATATCACACCAGTAGAAAATAGAAAAATTAATGGTTGACAAACTAAAGGGTTTTAAAAATAGTTCAGAAGTAAAATTGCCTTATTAAAAAATATAAAATGCTTAGCGCTCTTAAAAAATAAATATAGAAGTAAAATTGAACTTTAACCCTAAAAAAAATTATTTTAAATATTCTTACACCTTAATCATATTTTTTTTAAAAAAGGTGTGAAATGCGTGAATAATCACCTCGCCCTGATTCCAGAGCCCCTTGAATGGTTGGGATAATCTGGATCCTAGCGTATTCTATGCCTTCATCATCGATCTTTCCTTTGTGCTGACTTTCATTAGTTTTGAATAAAATAAAATTTAAGTGAACCAAGAGGTTCTACAATCTGGACGCTAAAGCCCCTTGGTTATCAAAAGTGGAAAAACAAAAAGAATATAAAGAAGAAAAAAGATTCCAACTTCTCTGCTTTCATTCCCATGGCGTCTCCCAATAGCTCTCTGAAAATACTTGAGGTCTGCAAAGTCGCTCCGCCACCATCTTCACATAAGTCCTCTTTCCCTCTCACCTTCTTCGACTTGCTTTGGCTTAGACTTCATCCTGTTGAGCGTCTCTTCTTCTTCCCTGTTCCTCACTTAAACTCTTCTTCCTTCTTCCATTCCATCGTCCCAAAGCTCAAACGCTCCCTCTCTCTCGTTCTCTATCACTTTCTTCCTCTCGCCGGTAACATCGTCTGGCCCTCCGATGACTCACTCAAACCCATCGCCCAATACTCTCCCGGCGACGCAGTCTCTCTCACCATAGCAGTGTCTGATTCTGACATGACCAATCTCATTGATAACTCTCCTCGTGAGGCCGTGCAGTGTCGTCCTTTCATACCGAATTTAGAGTCACGTGATTCATCTGCTTCGGCTCTTTCACTGCAAATCACTCTGTTTCCCAACAGTGGATTTTGCATAGGCATGAGCTCACACCATGCCTGTTTGGATGGAAAATCTTCATCTATGTTCATCAAGGCCTGGGCTTATCTATGTCGAATGACAGAAGCTGATGATGCAGAAAGTGAATCTTCTTCTTCTGGTTTGCTTCCTCCAGAACTACAACCATTCTTAGACAGGGAAGTTATCCTCGATCCACGTGGCCTTGCAGTCGCATACATTAATGGATGGTCAGGTTTAGATCCCACTGGTCAGACTCAGAAGAACCGGCCAAGCTTGAAGATTCTGTCCGACATGTTCCCACTGATAGTGGATGACTCGGCTCGAGCCATATTCGAGCTGAAACGAGGAGATCTAAACAAGATAAAGGAAAGAGTGTTGCAGAAGTGGGAGATCAATCACAAGGCGACAGAAGAAGAAAGAGAAGACTCATCATCATCACTTTCAAAGCCTCCAACTTTATCAGCCTTTGTACTTACAGCATCTTATGTTCTGGTCTGCATTGCAAAAGCCATTGAAAGAACTTGCGAGAACAAGACAAGGAAACTGTTATTCTGTTTCCCAGCTGATTGTAGGTCAAGGTTAGAGCCTCCAATTCCTGAAAACTATTTTGGAAATTGCGTGATGCCCAACATAATAGAAACACGAGAGGAAGACTTCACCGACGACGGTGATGGGGTGGTCATCGTTGCCAAGAAAATACACACAAAGATCAGGAAAATACAGAGAGAGAGAGGAGCGCTTGAAGGAGCAGAGACACTGTTTTGTAGGTATTCTTTGGAATCTGGGGAAGAAATTGAAATTCAGTACATAGCAGTGGCCGGGTCGAACCGGTTTGGGGTTTATGAGACTGACTTTGGGTGGGGAAGGCCTGAGAAAGTGGAGATAACTTCGGTGGACAAGAATATAACAATGGCCTTGGCAGAGAGTAAAGATGGTAATGGAGGTGTTGAAGTTGGACTCGTTTTGAAGAAGAATGTGATGGATCGATTTGCTTCCTTGTTTCAAACAGAGATGGAGTCTATCTGATCTCTGTTATAGGATGAGATTTGCAGAGAGACTGATCAAGAAAGAAGTGGATTATAAACCCTGAATCATCCGTTAGCCGAAACCATAGAGAAGAAGATTAGTGATTATTTAATTTGATAATTCTGAAGATTTCAATCATGTTATATCAAATTTAACTCTGGGCAATGTAATTGGGGGAAAAAACGGAAAAAACAAAAGAAATTTAGAAAAGCTAACGTAATTTGGGTAACGCATTAGAATTTGCCCTGTAGGGGGTTGAATTTACTTCAGAGCTTAACGTGGGTCTAAGTGTTGTGGCTTCGCTTTATGTCAATTTCATGATTCACGTAACAATAAAATAAAAATAGGTTCTTCCGTGAATTCCAAGTGATGGGATGGGATCAACTAAATCTGGGGTGTCATTATTTGGAAATTACAGTCTTGGAGAAATCATTTCATCTTTGACCAACATTTTCAAAAACCTCAAGAACCACAATGCTACTTGCCATATTATGAATTGCTGGAAATCATTTGTCCCTTCCTGTAATGATAAAACTGGAGTTAAATGGCATTTTTTTTTTCTCTGGTATTCTAAAATTACATGTAATACAATTTTTCCTTTCAAAATTTGAGAGTGGTGTATTAGGTACCTTAATATTAAAAAAAAATTAACTTTCAGTTAACTGACTTAAAAATTTTAAAAAAGATCTAAAAAAAGACCTAAAAAATTGCACATAAGTATCTTATAAAAAATTAATATCAATTAAATCTCATAAATTACATATAAATATAATAATATAAATATTATTTTTTACCACATAAAAGACTGAAATATGATTTGGACAAACCAATTTAACTAGCTACTGGGGAATTAACGGATCACAATTACTGACAACACCACCAATAAATAATTAAAAACAATTATATTTGTTTTATAAATATTCACACAATTTTTAAGTTAAATTTTGAGATTTATACATTCTTTGAAAATTTACATTTTAACTAGTGCATCTGATACTTCTAAATGAATGCTTTTTCGTTTTTTTACACAAACAGTTATAAACTTTTGAAGGAGGATTTATAAATTTTAAAAGAAAACTTATAGATTATGATACTATTTTAAAAACTTAATTAATATTAATTTTTTTATAAAGTACTTTTCTTTTCTTTTTGTAATTTCTTATGTTATTTTTTATAATTTTTTTAGATTAATTAATAATTAAAATTAACTTCTTAACACTGGCGTGCTTTATTCACTATTTTTAAACGTTGAAGGGTTAAAAAATTGCAACATATATAAATCAGGATATTGAATATTGTTGAACAAATGATTAATGAGTAAAAATGTCCAGTAATTTTAAAACTGTTCCGCGCAATATATATGGCGTCACCCTCCATCTGGCTGGATTAAAATCAATGCAAATGGAGTCAAGTCTATCTCAAGTGGTAATGCTGGATATAGGTGTCTTGAGATACCGTTGCGGGTGTCATGGATTGCCGGGTTTTGTTTTTTTGTTTTTGTTTTTTTTAATATATGACAGCGGATAATTGTGCAAGAAAAAGAACTCAAGACTTGTCTCGTCTGATAAAGATTCGGTGCCGTGGATGATCAAAAATCAAAATTAAGGTTGCCTTTTTGGCGTCTATTAGACAAACCAATATGCATATTTATTGATTTTTTTAAACATATAATTAAAAGTAATCATTCAAGCGCCCGTGACAAGGTTTCGAATTTTTTTTTTTTTTTTCGATTATGGGATGATATGGGATGAGATCGCTTTGAATAAGCACCAAAACTTTAAGAGAGTTCGAGTTGACATTTATATTGACAAACTAGTTTTTTTACAAAGTTTGAAACCCTTCATAATATCCAAAAACTCAGTGACATTTCTGGAATAATAATCAATATATTTAAAAAAACATTTTATTTAATTACTTTGTTCATCGCAAGTTAGCCCTCCACAAGTGGCAAGATTTTCTTGTGTTTGTTACAGGTTATGAGTGGAAGAAGATTAGTTGGGGCCATTAGATTGACCAAAAGGGCAAGTTTGGAAGCAAGAAAGTGGGGCCAGGTAATTTTGCAAAACGAGTTTTTTTTGTCTCCATTTTTCATATTTTTTCCAAAATTTTTAATTAATTTTTGGGGTTTAATATTAAATTAAACGTCTTTATCCTCACTTTTGGGTCTTTAGATTAGGGCAGTCTTATATAGAAATTAAAAATAAAGAGGTAGGATTTTAAAGAGGAAACTTTATTAAAAATGGAGGGGTAGGATTATAAAACAATTCTCAAGATTAAAATATTTTTAATACATGGTATTCTCTTCAAAAATTTAAAATTTAATTTTTTAAATATTATATAACAAATATTTTGTAGTCGTTTGATTTAATTAAATGATTATTATCATGCTATACAACTAGAGTTATTGGAACGGAACAACAGTGAAGAAACGGATAAAACATATGGAAGAGCAGAAAACTATTGTTCGTTGGGTCACCACCATTAACACAGATAATAAAAATATTTGTAACTTGCCATTTATTTTCTTCGCTCCATTTCAAACTAGAAAACAATATAAATAGCATAATATTTTTGTGTGCTAAGATCTCAGGTTGAAAAGAACAAATAAGAATTTGTTTCCCATTCGGTTTTCGAGCCATTTTGATATTAGAGTTGGTCCGAAGAGTGAGAGAGTGAATTATAGTTGAGGAAGTATGCCGGAAAAAAGAGAAATTCAAAGGAGGAGTCCCTAATGTCCTTGTGATTTGCAATCTAGGCGTTTTCTTGAAAAATTGACATCACCATCGTACTTAGGAGGTCTGAAAATGTGGAATAGGAGGTTCCTCATTATTGGCAAATCATCCACACGCCGTCACGTGCCACCGCCAAAACTCCACATGCCTCACCGTCGGTTCCCGTGTCGTCATGCGCCTTCTGGAGGAAGATCATGATGATGTCTTTCGCTACATCATCATCCTAACCAATCAACAATAGGTCATCCAGTTAAGATCCGCCACGTATCACATTTGCCACATCACCCTAACCAATCAGCCATTTTTTCAAAAATTACATTTTGACCCCAAACCTTTTCATATTTCCATATTGACCTCTAATATTTTTGAAATTTCATTTTAACCCCTTAAGTTTTTGAAATTCCACTTTGGCCTCAAGACTTTATAGAAATTCCACTTTGGCCTCAAGACTTTACCTAAATTCCATTTTGATGCCTATATTTTCTTGAAATTACACTCTAACCCCTATATTTTCCATAATTTTCATTTTAACCCTTAACTTTTGTTGGAATCCCCATCTTGCCCCTATCTTTTCAAAATTCTTGTTTACCCTAATTTTCCAAAAAAAAAAATCCCTCTAAGATGCAAGAGTGTGCACAAGGTTGAGATGGAAGAGATGAGACGTAGGATACGAGAGTTGGAAGCCACTGTGGAAGTGCAGCGAACTCTGTTAATTAATAATAGAGAAAACATTAAAGGATATTTGAGAAACAATAGTTCGTCATCCACTGACAACCGCCGCTGTCCACGACAACAACAATTCTAGCCTAATGACATCAAAGTAGACATTCTAGAATTTGAGGGAAGACTCTAGCCAGATGAGTTTGTAGATTAGCTTCAAACTATTGAACAAGTCTTTGAATATAAGGAGATTCTAGATGCATAAAAAGTCAAGATTGTCATCCTCAAACTCAAGAAACATGCTTCCATTTGGTGGGAAAACCTTAGACAAAAGCGAGAACATAAGAGAAAGCACAAGATTAAGACTTGGGAGAAAATGAGTCGCCAACTCACTAAGAAATTTCTGCCAGATCATTACCACCAGGATAACATTCTCCAGCTGCAAAATCTTTGATAAAGGTCTTTAACTGTAGAAGAATACACTAGAGAATTTAAATAACTCATAATGAAGTTTGACATTCAAGAGAAGGAGGAGTAAATAATAGCTCAATACCTTGCAAGCTTAAACACTAATATTAGCCATCCAATCTAGCTTCAGCAATATTGGACTTTGGATGATGTAATTCATCTAGCCATGCATGTTGATAAGCATATGCCCAGGAGATCCTCTTTCCAGCCTTCTTCCTCCAGGGGTTATCCCGAAGCCGTAAAGAAGAATTTCAACAGACCAATCCCTTAAGCAAGCCGTAATCTAGTGCTATTTGCAAACCATCATCCAATACTGCCAAGGAATCTGGCTCTAAAGTAATCAAATGCTTTAAATGCCAAGGATTTAACTATATTGCTGCAGATTGTCCTACTGAGAGAGTTGTCACCATTAAGGAAGGACAAGAGTATGAAGCACTTGAAGAAGATGAGGAGGATGCTGAGTTTTATGGCACTAATCCCTTATATGACGAAGATATCATGCTTGCTGATAAGGGAGAAGCATTGGTGCTTAGATGAAGTTTGCATACAACTGTAGTCACAGAAGAACCTTAGTTACGACACAACATTTTTAACACTCGTTGCACAGCCAAGGAAAAGTTTACAATGTCATCATTGATAGTGGAAGCTATGAAAATGTAGTATCTGACTACATGTTGGAGAAATTGAAGTTGCTAATATAAGATCATCCGCAAACTTACAAGCTTCACTAGCTCAACAAGGGGAATGAAGTAAAAGTTTCTAAACAATGCCTTGTAACTTTTTCTATTAGGAACCAATATTGTGATGAAGTTTTGTGTGATGTTGTTCCCATGGATGCATGCCACCTTCTCTTAGGGAGGCCATGGCAATATGATCGACATGCTATGCACGACAGGCATGCCTGTTAGAATTCAAGATGTAATATTTAATGAGATACCACTAGGGTTGCCTCCTATGCAAGACATACAGTACACTATTGACTTTGTTCTAAGAGTAGTCATTCCTCACAAGTCTGCTTACAAGATGAGTCCTCGAGAACATGCCAAAGTCCAATGGCAAGTTGAAGAGTTGTTGAAGAAAAGGTTGGTTCGAGAAAGTGTCAGCCCTTATGTTGTACCTATTCTTCTAGTACCGAAGAAGAATAGGAGTTGGAGAATGTGCATTGACTGTCGAGCTATCAACAAGATCACAATTACGTATCAGTTTTTAATACCTTAGCTCGATGATATGTTAGACTAGTTGTATGGTGCCACTATCTTCTCCAAAATTGACCTTCATAGTGGGTACCATCAAATCAAAATTTGGCCAGGAAATGAGTGGAAGATCGCTTTCAATACCAGAGATGGCTTGTATGAGTGGAATGTGATGCCTTTTGGGTTAACGAATGCCCTTAGCACATTTATGCACCTAATGAATCAAGTATTGAGACCCTTCATTGAAAAATTTGTTATTGTGTACTTTGATGATATTCTTATTTACAGCAAGAGTCAAGAAGAGCACTTAGATCATTTGCGGCAAGTTTTGCAAGCCTTGCAAGAATAGAAGCTTTATGCTAATATCAAGAAGTGCACCTTCCTCATTAGTAAAGTTGTGTTCCTAGGATACATCATTACCATAGAGGGTGTTCGAGTTGATCCAAGCAAAGTTGTAGCCATTGACAACTAGCCAATTCTAACATATATCCAGGAGGTTCAAAGCTTCCATGAATTAGCTTCTTTCTATAGGAGCTTCATCTATAATTTTAGCTCTATTGCTGTATCGCTTATAGATTGCACCAAATGAGAAAAATTTTAATGGACAGAGCAAGCTTAGAAAAGCTTTAAGGAGCTTAAGAAGAAGTTGACCAAAGCTCCAATCCTAGCTCTTCCTAATTTTGACTAAGTGTTTAAAGTTAGCTGTGATGTTTTTAAAACTGACATTGGTGCTGTCTTAAACTAGGAGGGCCATCCCATTGCCTTTTTTGGTGAGAAGCTCAATGATGCCAAGCTTAAGGTATTCTACCTATGACAAAGAATTTTATGCAATTATTTAAGCTCTCTAACATTGGAGTCATTATTTCTTGAACAAAGAGTTCATACTTTTCTCTGATCATGAGGCTCTCTAGTATTTGAATTCTCAGTAGAAGATTAGTCATAGACATGCCCATTGGAGTGAACTCTTACAGTCTTATTCATTTTATATCAAGCATAAGGCTGGAACTTTAAACTTCGTAGCTAATGCTTTTAGCCGTCGACATGTGTTGCTCAAAACACTGCAGATTAAAGTTGTTAGGTTTGACCTTGTCAAAGAGTTGTATCAAGATGATCTTGATTTTCAAGGAGTATAGGAAGCAGCTGCAAATCAACCTTTCCACAAATTTTATAGACATGATGGGTTTCTATTTCGAAACAAAACCCTATGCATTCCACAGGGTTCCTTGAGAGAAGCCATAATTTGGGAAGCACATGATGGTGGATTAGCTAGACATTTCGAACGAGCTAAAATAATTGACCTAGTGAAGGAGAACTTTTACTAGCCTCGACATGAATGGGGTGTCAACAGGCATATACAGAGATGTAGAATTTACTACTTGGCCGAATCCACGGGTTAGAATACTAGATTATACATGCCTTTGCCAATTTCAGAAGCACCTTGGGAAGATGTGAACATGAATTTTGTTTTGGGTTTACCACAAACTCAGAGGCAAAAAGATTCTATCATGGTAGTTATGGATCATTTTTCAAAAATGGCCTATTTCATTCCATTCTAGAAGACCAATGATGCTATTCAAGTAGTAAATTTGTACTTCAAAGAGATTGTTTATTTGCATGGCATTCTTAAGACTATTACTTTTGATCATAACGTGAAGTTTCTTAGCCACTTTTGGTGGATGTTATGGAAGAAGATGGGAACTAAGCTCTATTTTAGCAACACTAGTTATCCCCAGATAGACGATCAAATTGAAGCAATAAACAAGATTCTTGGTAATCTTTTCGCAGTTTTGTGGGGAAGAATTTGAAGTAGTGAGATCTCATTCTTGCTCAAGTTGAATTTTCCTACAATAACTCTGTTAATCAAGCAACTATAAAGTGTTCATTTGAAGTTTCTTATGACACTCGTTCCCTTAGTCTGCTAGACTTGACCTCTTCACTTAATAAGCAGCAATATAGCTCTGATGCTAACTAAAGGGCTAAGGAAATTAAGAAGTTGCATGAGTAAGTCCACGAGTGAATCCAAAAGTAGAATTTGAGATATAAGGCTCAATGTGACAAGCATTAGAGACAGTAAACTTTTAAGGCAGGAGATTTGGTTTGGATACGTCTATAAAAGGAATGATTTCCTAAACAGCCAAACACCAAGTTGTCCCTAAGAGCTGATTGTCACGGGGCCATTACTCTCTCTCCAAAAAGCTAGCTCATTATGGTATACAGTGCACCCGCTTCTACAGTCAGGACCCTCCCCAAGTCCCTCCAATATGGGACCTGACAACTCTCTCGACCAATCCGTGATGCCCCCATCACGGGTGGCCTACCAGAGGGGCATATCGACTGGGCAAACTCGGGTCTGGCTCTGATACCACTTCGTCACAGGGCTATTACTCTCTCCTCAAAAAGCTAGCTCATAAAGGTGTGTAATGTACTTGCTTATATAGTCAGGACCTTCTCCAAGTCCCTTTAATGTGGGACCTGACATGATGGTCCCTTCAAGATTATGCAAAAGATCAATAATAATGCTTATAAGGTGGAAATGCCTAGTTCCTATGGAGTGTCTGCCACTTTCAACGTTGCTGATCTATCCGTTTACATTGACGATGATGCCGAATTTAGCTCGAGGGCAAGTTTTGTTTAACTCGAGGAGGATGGAATGGAACAACAATGAAGAAACGGAAGAAACGTATGGAAGAGCAAAAAACTGTCGTCCCTTGGGTCACCACCATTAACACAAATAATAAAAATATTTGTAACTTGCCATTTATCTCCTTTGCTCCGTTTCAAACTAGAAAATAGTACAGATAGCATAGTATTCTTGTGTACTGGGATCTCAAGTTAAAAAGAATAAACAAGAATTTGTTTCCCATTCAATTTTTGAGCTAGTTATATTATTCACCGAATTCAATCAAATCTCAATTAGAGAAGGCTAGAGCAGATAGAGAAGGATGTTGTTAAAATGAGACACCCTTGGTCTTGTTAGCCACTCGTCTTACTAATCCATCAAAAATTATTTCCCCTGCTCACTCTTCTACCATGCCCTTCATCGCCCCTTCGAACCACGCCTTCGTTCATGTTCTTCAAAAGTTTAATTTTAAGTTTTTCATTCATACGTATCCTAAAACACTTGGATCCTTAAAACATCAAATCATTTCAACTTTTCAAGTGCTTTTTAACCAGAAAAAAAAAATACCCTTCCAAAACCGGACTTTTCAGTATTTTGGCCTATAAAAAGAAAAAGAAGAGGGAGTAGAACTGAAAATGTGAAAAAGACATTAACACATGCTTTTATAATCTCGGCTTCTTTCTTGATCCGTTATCTCTGCACATCACGTGCTCCATGTCAAATACACTCAATCTCTGATCGAACAAGGGAAGCAAATTGATCCATCACATGGTTCTTCATTACGATTCCCACTTCCACCCCTCCATCACCAGCTTTGCTCTCTGCCATCGCCATTACTATACCTCTATCCCCAGAAATGATGTCCACTTTCTCTGGCCTTCCCCATCCAAAATCAGTCTCATAAGCCCCAAACCGGTTCGACCCGGCTACTGCTATGTATTGAACTTCCTTTCCTTCTCCAGATCGCGAAACACTCCTTGTAGACAGTGTCTCTGCTCCGTCAAGCACTCCTTTCTCTTTTTGTATTTTCGTTATCCTTCTGTGTATTTTCTTAGCAACCATGACTACCCCATATTCCTCATCCGGTTGTGTTTCTATAATATGAGACATCACGCAATTCCCAAAGTAGTTTTCAGGGATTGGAGGCTCTAACCTGGCCCTACAATCAGCTACGAGGCAGAATAACAGTTTCTTTCTCTTATTTTCAGTTCTTTCAATGGCTTTGGCAATGCAGACATGAACATAAGAAGTTGTAAGCACAAATGCTGATAAAGTTGGAGGCTTTGAAATTGATGATGAGTCTTCTCTTTCTTCTTTCAACTTGTGATTGATCTCCCAGTTCTGCAACACTCTTTCCTTTATCTTGTTTAAATCTCCTCGTTTCAGCTGGAATATGGCTCGAGCCGAGTCGTCCACTAGCGGCGGGAACAAGTTAGACAGAATCTTCAAGCTTGGCCTGTTCTTCTGAGTCTGACCAGTGGGATCAAAACCTGACCACCCATTAATGTATGCGACTGCAAGGCCACGTGGATCGAGGATAACTTCCCTGTCTAATAATGGCTGAAGTTCTGGGGGAAGCAAACCAGAAGAAGAAGATTCACTCTCTGCATCATGAGCCTCTGTTATTCGACATAGATAAGCCCAGGCCTTGATGAACAAGAACGATGACTTGCCATCTAAACCGGCATGGTGTGAGCTCATGCCAATGCAAAATCCGCTGTTGGGAAACAGAGTGATTTGCAGGGAAAGAACGGAAGCACATGAATCACGTGTCTCTAAATTCGGTATGAAAGGACGAGACTGCATTGCGTCACGAGGAGAGTTATCTATGAGATTGGTCATATCAGAATCAGAAACTGCTATGGCAACAGAGACTGCGTCGCCGAGAGAGTATTGGACGATGGGTTTGAGTGAGTCGTCGGAGGGCCAGACGATGTTGCCGGCAAGAGGGAGAAAGTGTTGAAGAGCGAGAGAGAGGGAGCGTTTGAGCTTTGGGACGATGGAATGGAAGAAGGAAGAAGACTGTAAGTGAGGAACGGAGAAGAAGAAGAGACGCTCAACAGGATGAACTCTGAGACAAAGCAAGTCGAAGAATGTGAGAGAGAAAGAGTACTCACGTGAAGATGGTGGCGGAGCGACTTTGCAGAGGTCAATTATTTTCACAGAAATGTTGGGAGACGCCATGGATGGGGAACGAAGCGGAGGAGGAAAGTGTGATAATGGGATCACTATTTAAGGCGGCTTTGAACTTTGGCATCAAGAATCAAGATATTATCAAACCAGGGCAGCCTCCTGAAACCGCCTCTGGGTTCTCTTTTATTTTATTTATTTCATTTTTTTAACGATTAGGGATGAGACGATTCTTCAAAAACAAGCAGAAGTTACTGCAGAGGATAAATTGATAAAGCATTATACGAGGGGCATTTAAGTTTTTAGACTTCGGGAGACTTGATCATGGCGCAAGTTGCATTGACTTTTCTTTAATTATATGTGTGTATTTAAGATGATTGGTTAAAGGGCTAAAGGAGGTTTACTAATTTCATTGAGTTTAGTGTGGAATAATGAGTAAATATAAATAAAAATATTTTTAATTTAAAAAACAAATGTAAAAGTTTTAAAATCTAATTAATTAGTATTAATGATTTGTCTTTAAAATAAGCAAAATGAATGTAAGATGTAACAACCCAATTTTTACTTACATAATTTAGGATTAAAGGGAAAAAATGCTCATAAATTTTTTTCAAGGGATACCCAATATTATTAAATGAAAGAAGATGCTAAAGTACCTATAATGTTGATTTAAGGGGTGCAACCGTCCCAAAATTGTTAAAGAAACCAAATATCCATTATATTCTTTAGAGTAATAGCTATGTTTTTCCCATCACGAGAACCAAAGCCATTATCTCAACCATCGCTCTCATATTCGTGAAGGAGATCAAGCTTGAAGCTGAGTGAGGACCAGCTCGAGGCTTTGATTCAGAAGGCGGACAAGAACAACAATGGCATGGTGGAGTTCTTTGAGTTCTTCACCATGGTCGAGCCAAATATCATCCATGCTCGCAGCCCCCACTTGGAGGCCAGTTTCACTAGATCTTTCAGATGTTTGGCCTTAACGATAATGGCTACACCATCGCCACTTAGCTCACACATTATGTAATATCCACCTTGACATTATAAGGACAACACTCTAACTCACTCTAACTCGCCGTTGTGATAACCAAAATTAATTTAAGTCCCAAATAAAAGTTATCACAATCTAAAGGTTTAAAAGTAATCAATTTAAAACATTGGGATCCCAAGAAAATTCTTTTTCAAAAGTTGTTTGAACTCAAATTATAATTTAAATAAATCAAATAGTATAGCAGAAGCATGAGAAGCAAACAACACTTGAAAATAAGTAGAAGAAAATTGGAATTTCTTCAGAAACTGGCCTATCTGCTGTGGCAAATGGCACAGAGGGATGAGTCCCTCAACATGCATTGCACTACGGCGTGAATCTACTATCATGACAGTGATTTGAACTTCCAGAGCACGGTTTCGCCATCTGATGTTTAATTTGAGTGGTTCAAGTGTTCACATGAAGCTTTTCAAGCTTTTTAGCTAATGGCACTAGTCTCACACTTGATAGAACACATTTATTATACACTTTTATTTGTCAATTAGGACTATTTTATTAATATTTTATCACCTCAAAGTGCACACAATGCATTAGAATTGAAAAATCACCTAAGTGTCTAGGTTCGATGCACTAGAGGTATTTTGATCAAAAAATAAAATTTTGAGAAAATGTATGAGAAAAACTGAGAAAGTACATTTTATATCTAGAAGATAAGTGGTCAAATTAAATTTTTTAAATTCATTTTAATTTGGGAGTAATTAAATAAAAAGTCAACATTTTCTTAAGTGTCTTAGTTTGACCTAGTTTTCGATTCGCCTTTGTGTAAAAATTTTTATATAATTTTGTGCAGCCTAAAATTTATTTATTTTAACAAATTCTCCCTTTTAATTATGAATTTAATTCTGAACTTTAATTAAATTTTATTTTGCCTTGTGTTATTTAATTAAATTATTTATGTGATATAGGTGGCATGTGACTTGTACATCAATTGGATAATTGAAGTCAACACTCCTTGAGGTCAAGGCTAATGGTTTGCACATGAATTAGGCTTTATTTTGGGATTAAATCAGCTTAAAAATGTGGATGACACATGAGAAATTAAACAAACATTTGAATCATTTATAAGCCAGTAGGAGGATGCCATCTTGCAAGTATGACAAGGCCTCAAAATTTCTTTTTATTTTATTTTCTTTTATTTTAATTGAGTAGTCAGCTAAAACAACACCTTGAGCATGTCCATTCAATCCTCAATTGAGATTCATAACCCATATTCTCTCATCTCTTCCATTCTCTCTCTCTAGTTCATCTTATTCTTCATTTTCTCCATCTTCTTTCTACTTTCTTCATTTTTTCAACACCCATAACTCCACATTCAGCCATCAAACCTCCATAAAGCCACTATCATTCCATTCTTCTCACTTGGATAAACCTATCCCTACCACTTGCAAAGAGATTTAAAGCTTGATTCCACCATTTTCATAGAGCTCTAGTTGGCTATGTCTAGTTCTTAGAGGAGTAAGATAGTTTTAATGTTTTCTAGCTAAATTTTCCATGGAATCTTAGGGGAGAGTTGATGAAAGAGGAGTTTTAAAATCTTCGCTTGGCTAAGCTTAACTATTTCTTCATCTTCTTTCAATTTCATAAGAATACTGTGACTATTATTGATTATAGTTCAATTTGACTTTAGTTTCATGGTTGCTTGTAATTGTTAATGTTAAAACAAGATTTTTGAGTTGAATTTCATGTTCTTCTAGCTGCTGGAATTTTGGTCCCTTGACAAGTTTGCATTCTAATTTGTGATTTCATTTGGTGAATGTCTTGTATTAACCTAGCATGCAATTGTGTGGTGAATACTTGATGAGTTGCTTGAGTTTTCATAGCTGTGAGCTTAGGTATACCTTTGGGCAGTGGCAATTGGGAATGAATTTTAACTAAAAACTTGGCTAATTTTTGAGCTAAGCTAGTGAGGTTACCTAAGGGGCTTGTAATAGAACTTAAGGAATTGAATTAGTAAAGCTAAGTTATTTGAGATAGTTGTCTTGAGTAAACACTTTTTTAATCATGGAAGAGGAGTTGAGTGAGTTGCCGTAATTAATTAAAAGATGAGATTCCTCCATTAACAATACCTTAGTGTTCTTACTAAGAAAAAGGAGAAGTTCAATCCATTCACTTAGTTAGCATTTTATTTTCTTGTCCATTAGGTAACTAGGTTAGTAATTAGGTAAACAATTTTCACAACTGTGGGTGATTTATTATATCAAGTAACCTTTGACTAAGCTAAAACCTTTCATCGAGAGATGACCTAGGGTTGGCCCTGTAAGGTCTCCTTTACTAAACCATGTTTAACTCTAAATTATGGCAATCTAGGGTTTAACCCTCAAAAGATTACCAAATTATAAAGTTTTTATAAAGGAAATTTCTCAAATTCTTTCAAAGAAATCTAAATTTCAACAATTCAAATATCAAACATTATATGATAAGTCCATATCAGAGTTTTGAAAGTAAAGCGAAAGATGGAAAATCAATTGGGACCCAAAATAATGAGTTTTAAAACTCAAAAACAAATTTTGTGCAAAAAATGGCACGTGCACCATGGCTTACGGCATGTGCACTATGGCTTGTCTTCTCTGTGCCATGTGCCACGGCATAAGGTGCCATACACCATGGCGCATTGCATGAATTTGACAGTATTAGTACTATCATTTGACAGCGCAGGGAGTGAATTTTTGATGCATCCCAAATCTCTGTCCAACGTTTGATTGAGGTGGTTTCAGTATCTACATAGAGCTTTCTCCTAGTTCTAACTAATGGCACTGGTTTCACACTCAAATTCATTTTCTATAAAAAGTTGGACACCAAAACTCATTTTGACCACTTTTCACAAATTTTCATGAATGGGCGTCCCAACTCAACCACTCATGCCAATAGCTCACACTAACCATCCAACCACACCTAATAGACTCTAACAAACCTGTGCAACGCACCACACATAAACCAAAACAATTATATCATAAAAATCACCATTCAACCTTAGTTTTCACAAAACATCAAGGGAGAGGCAATGTTACACAAAATCATCAAATTCATCCCAAATCTTTCAAAATACATATATTTCTACTTTCACAAGTATTTTGGCCCTGTCTACGGGTTTATAACCAAAACTCTCTAACCCAAGGCATAAAATACACTAGTTATACACAAAATCATATAAGTAGTGCATAAATTATGTCAAATGATCCTAGTTGGCAATTACATTAACAAATACACATGAAAGTAATAAAAGAGAGGCATATAGAGGATTACTCCATAATCCTGGGCCTCTGTATGTTTTCCCCGACTTAAATTTGATGAGTTGAGTTTTGAAAATATTAAGAATTGAGGGTTGAGTATAACTACTCAATAACCAAGTTCCAGCTAACCCATACAGTTTCATATCAATTGTAAATAGATGCAATTAGACAATAAGCATAGATAACACATAAACACTTAGCCACGGTTCACAAAATTAACAACCATGTGATCGGGCTTGTCATAATACACTTTATCATGATATTTCACAAAACATAACACAGAGTCACAAAAATAACAACCATGCACCCTTAACACATGCCAGACTATAAAACTAAAAACTATATAGCCAGACTTATATGCATAATTACTTTTTCACGGATTAATCTAGCCTTCTACTTGTAAGGAGCTACCGAGCCAAGGTTAACTCACTCACTTATGTAATCCATTTTCCCTCAATACTAACAACCATGGGGTGTCGTACCCCTAATAGCCTCCTCATGAATTGATGGAGACTAGTTAGGTTTGAGTCCCTTATAGAACAAGTGGGACAATCCCGAATTAATGATGGGACAAGGGCTACCACCCGATTCTAATGGTCAGTGCCAAGGCTAGTTCCCAATTCCAATAGTCACTGCTAATACCACGTGGATTTAAATCCATCTGCTCCTCTCCCTAGGCGAACTCTTGCTAATGATCATGCTATGCACATTTTTCACATAGTATGTATTTTAAAAATCAATTCATAGTACATGAACTCACATAAACTCAAATACTCCACAAGATCAACACATAATACATCACAATTCTCTACCCATAATAACAAATCACAATTAATTTCATAAAACACTAAGGGTGGAATAATCATGGTTATCTTTCTAAAACCATTTCACAAGTCAAACACATTGCTAATATACATCATTGATTTAAATCATAAATCACATTT